TGCAGCACAATGAAATTTCAGTTCATGTGTGTGACTACTGAATGCCAGTCCTACAGAACTTAAAGGTCAGGTGCAAAACAGGAGAATGGTGGATGAGACAGGCAGTAGGCACAGTACATTAGTAGCTCCCTGGTGCTAAGTTTTGGAGTTTAAGTCGTGACAGCAAAGGAAAGCTTTAGACAATACCACAAGGTAATACTTGCAAATATATATCCATATTTACCCATTATTTTTATATCCGTATTTATTATTAGTAAATGAGGAATTGTTAAGCATGGGGAAGGGTAGGCCAGCAAGCTATAAAGCATGTTTAAATATTTAGTTCGCTGAAACACAGATTTGACTATACCAAACAAGACAGAAGTTAGAACACTAAGCGCCTTGAATATAAAAATGTTTTTCTTTAATGACAGAAGCCATCAAAGTCTTATCTTCCTTGATCTCCCAAAAGCCTGAGGAACACAAATTGATTTTGCAACCTTTTGAAGTTAAAAATAATATCTATACAGAATATTTACCATGACCTTGCAAACAAGAGCAAATATAGCAGTTAAAGTTGTTTCCTTAGATAAAGGGGTGTTCATTTTAGATAACAAAGTATTATACCATGATTTTAAAGCAATAAAAGCTCAGAAATATCCTAATTAACATCCTACCTCTCCTTCTCAGGATGGTTAGGCTCGTCTTTGTAACTCAAGAGGGGATTTTTGTGCAGTTTGTGCTTCCTAGCTTTTCCAATCTTACAAAACTGTTTCTAGCCCTTTCTATCTGCAGGTTCCCAGAACTGCTCGCTACAGCCTGTGAAATAACTCCAAAATTGCCTCTTAACCAAAATGAAATATTTGTTGGGAAAAGTTGGGAAATATGTATTGGGAAATATTTATTGGGAAAATAGAGTAAAGAACGCATTGCCAGGATAGCATACATGCAAGAACACTGACAGAATGCAACCTAATCCTGTTCTTTAGCTTTCTGGTAACAGTTTGGACTACATATAGCTATTCTCTTCTCAGTCAATCAAAATCAGTGGAAGATGTCACCATTTTCAGTATCTGTCATCACCTCTCCTTCCCTATGCCCAATCTTCATTGAACAATAGAGCAAATCACGCAAAATCTTCCTACCTCACTTCAGACAGAATCAGCTTAGATTAAAAGTTTTGGCAAATAAGGAAAACTCCACAGAAACTGCTCTTTTGGCTCACCTGTAGG